TATATATATATAACCAAAATGTGTTCTTGTCTTAGGACAACTTTGATGAACTTTTTTTGATCCACTTCAAATGTTGACTATTGTATATATACACATTATATATATATATATATGATAAATTATGCATATAATTGTCATGAAATTGATGCTAAAAATAGGTTTCATTTTCTTCAAGGGAAAATCAAAGGGAAAAAATTACATTTTTTTAAATATCTTACACAATGGAATAGAGGTTTTTAAAAAAAATAGTAATAAAAATAAATATTTCACTGTCGCAAAAATAATTTTGTAGAAATGAAATGAGTTATTGAAATGTATAGTACACTGTAAAAAAATGTATGCAATCTTAATGGTGAAATATTGTAAAAACGCTACAGAAAAAAACCTGTAAAATAAAGTTAACAGTAAACAGTTTTTGAAACCAAAAATTAATGAAAAACGTGAGGTTGACAAGATGTTTCTTCATGTTACTAAAGTGATCCTGTGTGACTTTTAGTGCGTTTCTAGGGTCAAAAGAGTCCTCTATCAAGTATCTATGGCTCAGGTTTATTCTTTACAGAGATAATTAACCTAAAAATGAAAAATCTCTCATTGTTTACTCAACCCTCCACTTGTTCCAAGCCTGTATGAGTTTCTTTCTTCTGTTGAAGATATTTTTAAGAATGTTGGTAACCAGACAGTTGACGGTGGCTACTGACTTCTATAGTATTTTATCCATATTATGGAACTACCATCAACTATTGTTTTTTTTCCAACCTATTTTGTGGTCCAGCAGGTGAAGATGGTACGTCTGATCACTTAGTAAAGCACCAGCACACTTCAACAAGAAATCATTAATATCTGGAGCAAAACGCTGCAGGACGACGCACACGCTCAACTCTAATACTGTTAGAGGTTTGAAGACATCACTAACACTATCCTCAATAGCAATAGTGATGCTCACTGCTGTTAGTGTGTTAAAGGCCAGAACAGACAGTATGGAGACACAAGGTTGTTTAAAGACAAAGAAATGTATTTGCTCTGGTGTTCTGATCTGAAGAGGTTTACAAAAGGTTTACAAAAGTCCAGTTTGCAGTGCACTGCAGATGCGGCGTGAGATCTTGCCATCGTTTTACACTGGAAGTCTTCATCTGTCCACAGGCTTTCAGAGGAATCCATCCGTGTGATGTCAGAGAATGAAGCACAAGCAGGAAGATCCTGTTCATTAAATGTCTTACAGCACGCATGTCCTGCAGCGTCTCAGATTAAAAGGCCTGTGCTGGTCAGACAGGTCAGAGGTCACTGTGTGTCCGTGTGTCAGATCGGTGGCCAGACTTTACTGACCTCTGCATGAAGAGACTCTGGGATCCACTGACAACACGCTGACAGCAGATCTAAAAGAGGGAAATAAAGCCATTTTTTGTCTCTTTCCACACTTCGGATTTCATAAAAATGTATTTCTGTCAGAGCTAAAAATATAAATTCTGATATTTATCAGCATTTTGATTCAGTATACAGTGGTGTGAAAAAGTGTTGGCCCCCTTCCTGATTTCTTATTTTTTTGCATGTTTGTCCATTCAAAAATTTAGATTTTTTTATGTTTTTGAAAGAAGTCTCTTATGCTCACAAAGGCAAAATACAGCAAAAACAATAATAATATTGTAAAATTGTATGACTTAAAAAATGATTTTCTATGGAAAATAAAGGTAATTGCGACGTTTTATCTGACAGTTTTTTCTTGCAATTCTGAGTTTATATCTAACAATTCAGACTTTGTTTCTCATTTCTGAAGATTCAAATTACTTTTATTTTTTTATAATAAAAAAAAAAAGAATTCTGTGATGTAAACTCAGAATTCAGAATAAAAAATGTCAAAAAACTCAAAGAAAAAAGTATTTTCTTCTTGCCGTTGTGAGTTTATATGTCACAATTCTGACTTATTTTCTCAGAATTGCAAGGAAAAAACTCAGCATTGCAAAACATAAACGTGCAATTACCTTTTATATTTTTTCATTATTATTTTTTTAAACAGGCTTCCATAATGTCCTATTTGAATATATTGTAAAATGTAATTTATTTCTGTGATCAAAGCTGAATTTTCAGCATCATTCCTCCAGTCTTCAGTGTCACATGATCTTCAGAAATCATTCTAATATGCTGACTTTCTGATCAAGAAACATTTCTTATTAACTAAAATATATACCTTTTGTAACATTATAAATGCCTTCACTGTAACTTTTGATCAATGTAATGCATCCTTGCTGAATAGAAGTATAAATTTCATTCAAAAAAAATTCTTACTGACCCTAAACGTTTGAATGCTAGTGTATCGTGACAGCTTTGCATTGCATGGTCTGTAATACAGTAAAATCAATCCCCACATGGTTTTCCACTAAATGACCACAAGAAAGAACCTGAATCATTTATGCATAGCAACTTACATTTTTCATCTTTCTTCCATGCAGCTTCTAAAGACGTTCTGTTGTCAACTTTCTCTGCCACCAGCGCCGTCAGGAGAGCTTCAGTCCGCGGCTGCAGCCTGAGATTATTCAACAATAAGTATTTCCACTCCGAACAAAAGTTAAAGTGTGTATTAGATCTTACTTGGCCCACGTCTTCAGCATGGTGGAGGGTGACGACAGTAAACATTTGCTGAACTGTTGAATCTTGGGACAAACCTGCAGAAATTCAGCTAAGAATAAGTTCATACATCACTTTCTGCAGCAACACCACGGATTATGAATATGGTATCATGAATCATGAATATGGTATATTTCAGTTTATGTATTTAAACTGCTGTTTAAAGTTTTGGGTCAGTAAGATTTTTTTTTTTTGACTGATAGAAATGAATACTCTTATTTAGCAAAGATGCATTAACTTGATCAAAAGAGCCAGTAAAGACATTTATAATGTTACAAAAGATTCCAATTTCAAATAAATGCTGATCTTTTAAACGTTCTATTCATCAAAGAATCCTGACAAATTCAATGTATCAAAGTTTCCAAAAAAATATGAAGCAGGCCAACTGTTTTAAACATCACTAATAATCAGAAATGTTTCTCGAGCAGCAAATCAGCATATTACAATGATTTCTGAAGGATCATGTGACACTGAAGACTGGAGTAATGATGCTGAAAATTCAGCTTTGATCACAGGAATAAATTACATTTTAAAAAGCATTCAAATAGAAAACATTTATTTTACAACTAAAAAATATTTTACAATATTGGTGATTTTACTGTATTTTTGATCAAATAAATGCAGCCTTGGTGAGCAGAAGAGATTTATTAAACGGTAATGGATTTATTTTGTAAGTAGCCGTGTAATAATTAGGATAAATATACACTCAGTCATCATTATCGTGATTATGGTCATTACATTGTTTTGTTTTTTTCATAATGACCAAATTTGCCATGGTTTTAAACTGGTAGAGCGAATAACTGACATTTCCATCTTGTTTTGGTTTCACACCCACATTTACACACACCCACACACACTCATAAATGTCACCTGGCCTTCCAGGAAAAACATTGCAAACAGTTTGTAACGCTCAAGGCCCTCTGGGTAATCCATCTCAATGGCAGGAAGCTTCCAACTGACTCTGTCAGCAGAGAGAGACACACCCACACTCAGACTAACACCCACATCATGTGACTGTAATTACACACACACACACACACACCGCGGCACTAACAAACTAGAGCTGGCTTTGAACTCTGGCTGAGGACAGGAGGACAGACAGCAGCTCTTACAGAAGGTGCTCTGCTGGTGACACTTCACTCGGCCGCTCAGTGGGCAGAACCAGGGGGCGGGGCTTTCCTCCGGAGCACTGAAGTGACAGTATTGTGGGAGGAGCTTCGGAATCCATTCAGCCTGAACGGCACAAACGCCTGCAAGAAACATTTATATTCTATTTGAATATAATGTGTAAAATGTAATTTTTTCAGCATCATTCCACCAGTCTTCAGTGTCACATGATCCTTCAGAAATCATTCTAATATGCTGATTTGCTGCTCAACAAACATTTCTGATTATCAATGTTAAAAACAGTTGTGCTACTTAATATTTTTGTGGAAAACGTGATACATTTCATTAATAAGTCTTAATTGTTTTATGTCACTTCTATTGTAAGTATAACACAAAGACACCTTAAGTCATTTATTTACACAGAACATGTCAATAAAAGATAAAATATAAAATGTAGATAAAATGCATGATTAATTTGTTAACAAATATTGCACTGGGTACAATGTAAACTATTTTGGTCTATTTTTTCTCTATTTTCAATTTTCTATTTCTATTTTTTGGTCCACTATATGAGTCCATGTCCACTTCTGATTGAAAGCCTAAATATTACAATAATGAAACTATTAAATAAATAAACTTAATAAATTGTTATTATTAACTTACCTAATTATTAACCAATTATCATACAACAGTTTAAAGTTTATACCAGCCATGAGATTTTCCACAATTTTTTTTATCTGTTTCTGAGACACAAAACCTTATTTATGAAAAGTGCATTTAAAGGGCGATGTATAGAAATGCACTGATTTCGCATATAAACACACACACACACCTCTCATGTACATCTTGGTGGTCTCCATGATTTCCTGATAAACCACAAACTCTGGAAGTGTCTTATGAAGGGCAGATGATGGGTGAATGAACACTGGATCATCCAGCAGAGGGGTCTGTAACACACACATACTTCTGTGAGATTCAACAGCAACATCAGAAGCAATCTTCCAGGAACCTTGTAGCCATTCCTCCATTTGGGGTCGAGCAGCTCCTCGGCCTGCACTCGTCTGGTGATGTGATCTCCTAAACCCGCCAGTACGATCTGCCGTAAACACAGCACCTGAGACTCTGTCGGAGGAGCCATCTTATTATCCATGTATACACACGGCATTCACTGAGACAGACAGAGAGACGGTTCAATCATATACAGGCAGGCACAGACACAAAGTAATCACTGAACAGAAAAAACACGTGGATCTTCATGTATGTACCTGCACTGGTCAGCTGTTCTCGTAGTCTTTGGATTTCCAGCATGGCTTTGTACCGAAGCCCGTTTTCCTCACAGAACTGCTGAGGGCAGCCCGCAAATTCACAAGCACCAACAGCCCCTGAACAACCATCAACATCCCAACATTTACACAAAAAAAACACACAAGCTAATGACAGAAACATGCATAGAAGATTTGGCATTTTTAAATGATCAGCAATGACCAATACGTTTTTTGTTTTTTTTTTGACTGTTATTTTGCACACATATACAGTATATATTTTGAAAATATTTACATGTATGTACATGTATATATTTATATCATGTATAAATATATTTCATATACAAGCATAACATATTTTTCTTAAATATATGCATGCATGTGTGTGTATTTATATATATATACATAATAGATATACAAAGTACACACACTTATTTTAGATGCAATTAATCATTTGACCGCACTAATTTTATTACATAATACATGTCATATTCATTAGGTAATGTATTTAAAATTAACATTACCTAGTCTTTATTCGAAAAAAAAAAAGATTCCTAGTATGCACAGGTTTACTAGATTCCCAAAGTGCACTTTTAGTGTTTATGTTTTTAGCAATGTCTACATTCGTGAAAAATACTATAATAGCAATTACAGAACTAGGAAGTTGCTATCTATCTACAGTATAAAGGTGTTTATTTTTTATTAAGATCAAACTATTTATTCATTTTCAAATGATTCATTTCCAATTATTTTAGTAAATATTATGTAAAATAAATATGCATTTGATTGCAGTGATTGGCATGTATGTTAATTACTATCTTTCAATTAAATAGTGATATCGTATATATCGGCCAATGGCCACAACATTAAAAACATTAAAATAAAAATAAAATATAGATAACATTAAAAATCTATCAGTTGACCACTATAAGACACTGTTGATATTGTTAACTAAAACTATTAAAAATAATTTTTATTCATTGAAACAAAAAAATTACATATAAATATTGCATGAAAAAAAGAGTAAATTAATTAATGAAAACTAAAATAATAAAAAAAAGTGTTATTTAAAATAAAATAAACAGAAATTAAATAATAATAATAATAATGTATATTTACTATAAACTTAATAATTTCAGCTATTATATTATTTCAGCTAGTTGCCAAAGT